CCGATTAAAAGAAAATTAATAACAGACATACTATATGGCCAGCATAGTTTTTTTTTTAAATAATATAAAATATGAATAAATAATAATTGTTTATAAATGTTTTATATTATTATGTTTGTAGCCAATTCACCATAATAACAATTAATACTAAGTAATAGGTATAGCCTTACATTAAAACCAGGGTAAGTGAGTAATGATGTACATTTTCATGAACATTATATATTTTCTTACCAAATATAGGTACCCTTTGATATTATATAGTTATTAGTTATAGTATACTTAAAGTTTAAACTGTATTACCATTAACATATTTTAATATTATACTATTAAACATACCTAGGTAGTTAATATAGGAAACGCATAATACAAATAAATTTATCTAGGCAATAAATGTGCATTTTAATTTATATTAATAAAAAAAAAATTGTATTTTTACTTCAAGTTTAAATGTTAAGGGTATAAACGTTTTCCTACATTAATTGATTTTTCCATTTTTTTTTGTAATTTATTGATTGAGTTATTTCCACAATTTTACACCAACTACTTTTTATGAATAGTTAGGATATTAGGTACTTACAAATTACAATGTACCTAGTCTTAACACAAGACCATGACTGTCATACTTTGTATGAATATAAAAAAAAAGGTTTGTAAAAATAGCTACACTAACTCTCGGATTTGGGCAGATATTCAACATTGAAAACATGGTACATTTCGAAACATACATAAAATATTTTTAAAATTGTAAGGCTATAATATTTGACTGCATTAAAAAATATCAAAATTTGTTTCGGATCAAATAATATAGCAACTAAAAACAACCAACATGGCTTGATAGGACTATAGATTATATAAGAATGGATAGGTCATTCCTATTTCAACAAAATAAGGAGTCGTGGTCCAGAATATGGATGAGAGAGAGACGGCTTTTATATAGTGCTATTTTTAGATTAAGGAGTTTTAAGTTCTGGTGGCCTATTTATTCATAAAATATTATCTATAGATGGGATCCCCTTTCTGCGCCATTTACTTTGAAAGAGCTTCTATATCCAATATTGTTTCAATAGTTTCATGATTGGATTTTGGGAATCATTGGATCCATATTTTACATAGTATTTCTCGTCTTATTTAAATTTTCTTGATTAAGGAATAATTATCAGATATTTTGAATCTGAATATAGAGTAATTCAAAAAATGATTAGAACTGATCTGAATTGTATATAATCTTATTTATAAAATGTCAACTACAGTGAATAATACTGGTACTATATAGTACTTGCTGAATAGGCAAGGCTGGGCACTAACTAGTTACTTTTAATTCATATTAACTTTGTAACTTAACTAGCTGAATTTAATGTGTAAAATAATCTAATCTAATTCGTTAAAAATAATAAGTAACTATTTATTTTTGTAGTTTTTTTCTTAATTTATTGAATTTTTTTATTTCTTATTTTGTTAAGCTTTCTATATTCTAATGACTGATATTTCAATGTACCTAATATTAATATGTTAAATTGTATGTAGAAATTTGAAATCAATTCTTCTTGGTTTTTAAGTGAATAATTATAGTTATAGATACTTGGATTTTCATTTTATAATATGACTTACGCTATAAGGGAATATATTTAAAATTATTCGTGTTTTTTTTCAGGACCACCCAAAACTATAGAACTGTAGATGGTCATTATTTTATGCTATTGATTATTTAGTTTGAACTATACTGTCATGTACTACTGCCCTGCACTAACCTACAATATGGCTTTTAAAAGTTTCTGAAGAAATTTATTTTTACATTTAATTTATGATATTAATTAATTAATATATTGCCATATTTATTATTATATACAATTTTGTTAAATATTTATTATAATAATAAAAAAACTGACGGTAGTTAAATAGTGAACTTTATTAATTTTAATTAATTTCCATATATTGACATCTCCTTTTGGCACAAACTTTAGGAAACATACCTGGTTCAGTGAAGAGTGGTTCAGTGATATTTGTAGCGGTTTTGACAGTTTTTACTTCATTAGGCATAACTGAAAAAAAAATATTTACATTATATTTAAAAAAAAATATGAACCAATTAAATTGTTACCATTAGGACAAGTATTACAATAGTTGATTCCACTTTGATTACTCTTAACCAGAGATTGTAATACTGGCCCTTAAATGTAACATGATCTTACCAGTTTCAATATATGAAGAATCATCATTGTTATCATCAATCATTGAAAAATCGTCTGAAAAATCAGTATAGTTACATATTATATTATTTGAGGCTGGAGGCAAGTACAGGACATGAATAATGCTGACTGTTATCTGTTAAAAATTTTACGAGCAACTCCTCTTCCCTCTTACTGAAAACGACATTCCTCGCCCCTTTTTTTCACTTAATTTGTAACAGAACTCATATTTGTATTTTGTCTTAATGTATTATGAAGCAAATATCAGACGTCAGTGAATAATTAATTACAAAACACAATACACTTGAATACAGAAACAAATTTGAAAAACGAACAGTGATAGTACGAATTAACGTACATTCATATATCAATGCACTCCGCCGCTACAAATAATAATTACAATGACATTATTATCGGAAATAAAAATTGTAGAACACTACCTTATATAATATAATATATTTATAGGTCTATGGTGTTATCATTGAACACAACTGTAGGTTTACGCGTCACGTAATGTACCTATACAAAATTAATTCAATCAATTTCAGTTTACCTTTACTATTTTAGTTGTTACAGTAAATTATCAAATAATATAATGCATACTAAAATAAAATAATCTTTGAAAGTTAAAATATTATTCAAAATCTGCCGACTATTTGTATTAAATTATACTTATAATAAATCAATTTTAACTCGCACAAATTCGGCCGACAGGGATGTAGCCACTGCCAAGACAACCGTCAGTCGTCAAAGCACAACGCCACAAAGCCATGACGACGTCTCACCGGTTCCTGAATTCACGTTTTAAGTCACCTAAAACTTCCAACTTTCAACTACCTAATACCATGGCTAAATAGACTATTTAGTCATGCCTAATACGTTATACGATATAAATACAACGAGTGGTAATAACCAATCAATAGTGGAACGTTATTTGTAGGTATACAAATATATTATGTTTACCAACGTCCAAAAATTATATTATATAATATATTACAATTTACAACTAATTTATTATTAGTAATATTTTTAATCTTATGTGTTATTGAATCTTATTTACGTATTATTGAAACAAAGTTTTTTTTGGCACGATTAGGGGCTAGTCGGGAAAAAACGTTCCTGACGAAATACTATTTTTTATAATATTAAATAGTTATTTTAGCCAAAACATCTAATTTTCATTCCATCATACTGATCGATCTAGTAATGCGATAATACTTTTAAAACAGATTTGAATTCGTTATTATAATATCTAATTGAGATTGGTAAGTCCACTTTTCCCAATTTCATCCCTCCCCACCACCAACCTCTAAAAATACAGCTTGAATATTTTAAAATTTCGGAATTTTCAAACGTTGATTATTCGGAATTTAAAACAGAATTCTTAAAATGTGGACTGACCGATCTCCAATAAAAGTTCTGACGAATTCAGATAAGTTTTCACAAATATTATCGCATTATTAGATCAATTTGTATGATGGAACAAAAAAAATAACAACCAGCCAAATGCGAGTCGGACTCGCGCACGAAGGGTTCGGTACCATCATCAGCTATAAACAAGTTGGCAACAATGCTTATATTATATATTCTAGGATTTTAGTATTTTTTGTTATAGCATCAACAGAAATACATAATCTGTGGAAATTTCAACTTTCTAACTTTCATGGTTCATGAGATACAGCCTGGTGACAGATGGACGGACGGACGGACGGACAGCGGAGCCTCAGTAATAGGGTCCCATTTTACTGTAGCCTAAAAAACGGGAGCGGTAAGTTGTCGTGAAGGTCCTCGATTGATTATAATCAGAATAATTGAACAATGGCCGTTACAACTATCAAGAACATCACAGACAAACTAAATGCCATGTTGGAAGAAAACCTTGAGGGGATACTGGCAAACGTCGAAAATGGCAATTACGAGTATTATGTTTATGGCGGCGATCACGTCATGGTGATACTAGTGGAGCCACTAGTATTTGTATTAGCCCGAATAACTTCGTCACTCTCTACCGGCGAGCCGCTGACCATTACCGAAATCACAGATGGCAACAACTTCGAAAATACCCCTGATCTGGTCGCACCGGTAGAGAATGACGTCATGTTAAAAGGCGAATACAGCATCATGTCGGTCGAGGAGCACTCCGGAGTTGAGCCGGCCGAGGAAACCGGAGAGCAGAACAGTTGTGGGCCGAACGGTGGGCCGGAACCGACAGAAGCTGGAAAACGCCTGCCACTCAGACGAAGCCGGATGTCCACGGTGTGGAAAAGAGTGAAGCGCGTCTTCCGCTTCCTGTGCTGCTGCGGATGCCGCTCAGACTGACACTGTGGTATTGGGCCGAAGACGACGGACAGGATGACGGCGACGAAAAGGAGGGGAGTGGATACGAGAAAGAGCACACTTTGCAAATCAGCACTGAATCGCCATCTCGTATCCCCCCTCCTGCTGGTTTATTGTGTCTCCTGTCCGTCGTAGTTTGTTTTTTTTTCTTTGTATATATATTTTGTAATAATTACAATTTATTACTATTGTTACTTATTAGCAGTCAAGGCGAAGCGATGTGCGGTCGAGGTAATAGGTACGTGAGAGTGCACTTTTGGGGTGATCAGCTTTAAGTCACCAACACATACGTTCTCCGGCCACCGGTGGTAGGGATCGCAGGATCGCGGACGTCGTGCGCTCGAGGTCGCCGACACGCGAGACCCTCTGGAGTTGTGGCGGGCCCTGACTGCTTCGGTCCGAGAGCGACGACAACGACACGACGACGGAGCTGGCTAGCTGTACGACGAAGGTACCACTGACGATGACTGCTGCTGCACAAGACGACTCGCGATGGTGGAGATGGAAACCGTAGAGCACACGTCGGGCGAGTGACGGACGACTATAATTATTATACGGTGGCTAGGGAACCATATAATAATAATATATAGTCTTCGTCGCTTGCTCCGACGAGCTTTGGTCGAAGTCTTCGTCGTCGCCATAGTCGTCTTCGGCACCTGCAGCACCGTCAAGCAGTGCACGTCATCGCGCACTAGCCAATCGTCGTCAAACCGCCGTCGTTGCTCTCGCAGCCGTCGTAGTCGGGTTCCTTCCACTTCCATGGTCGTCTTCACGTCCTCGAGCAAACGCGCCCGTGACCCTCGTCCCCCTGCAGGACCGTCCGCAAGAACTATGTAGAGGTGACAGTTTATTGCCAATTATAACCCACTCGCCATCACGTCCCCCCACCTCGCCTCGTCTTGACTGATGTCTTCTTTTTTACATAATTACATTTTTTCATTTTAATTTATTTTGCCACATTGAGCATCTTTTTTGTTAATTAAAATTATTATTTCTTGTTTTTTGCCACATTGCGCATCTTTTGTTAAAATTATTATTTCTATTTTTCTGCCACATTGAGCATCTTTTTTCATTTGTAAATAATATTCTGATTATTATTTTTCGGCATAAAAATGTTTCAAAATTATTGTAAAGCACTCATTAACTATATATCAAATAGATATATCATATCATTTATAATATTATTGAATTATTTATTTATAATCATTTATCTCACACCTATTGTGTTATTTGTTTTTTTTTTTTGTAATTATTAACAGGGTGTTTAAAAATGATATTATTTTTATACTTGACATCATTTATTACTGTATTCAAATTATTATTATAATTTATATAATACGATTGTTATATTATTACAAATTATCCAGTAATAAAATTATTATTTTTATACTATAAAATGCTGTTTTTATATTTTGTACTAAACAGTAGGTATGATTTTATTTATTACAACAGAATAATGATTGATGAACATTTGATGAATAATATTAACCAACAACTTTTTTGATACGTCGTACCAAACCTCAATAAATTATTATATTTAACGTTTTGGCCTCGTGTAAGTATAAGTGCAAAATATTGTCATGCATCTTTATATTTTTAATTGTTAAATTTTTCACTTGTTACTTTGTATTTTTGAATACTAAATTCATTGCTACCCCCCTTTTTTTTCGTTTGAACATTAAATATTAATATTTTATATTATCGAATTACCTATAGTATGAAATAAATGCATAATGTGATATTGGGAATGACCGCTAAAAAGTATTTTTTCCGTTGTTTAATAAGATTGGTCAGAAAGAAATCAATACTATAACATCGGTCACATTTTACCTTAAAAATGCGTGCAATTATTTGTGGGTATTCAAAACACTTGGCAGAGGTAATACATTCTTATGACACTGGCTAAGTCGATAAAAACCTGTAAAACCAGAACAAGTTTTTTGTTTGTTTGTTTTTTTATTCTAGTTATTTAACCCCCAAATACCTAAACAAGCAAAGAGGCAACGTTTCGGGGTATTTATTGATGAAAAACCTAAATTATTATCCCTTACCTACTGAAAAATATAAATATGTTGGACACAGACAAGCTGGGTTATAGTTAGAATTTGAATAATGTGTTATCCCAGAAATGTTTAAAAATAATAAACAAACTGTAACATTAATTTTGAATAAATAAAATAAGTAAGTTTGGTTTGTATTAATAAATGCTTTGTAACACGAATATAGAAACTTTATAATAAAACTTCTGTGAAATGTTGTTCAAAAATATATTACACACACTATTGATTTGGGTTCAGACGTTCAGTAGCTATAAACATATACAATATACAATTATATAATATCTTTACTTACTAACGCTCGGCGAGGGCCGAGTCATATGGTCACGCTGAGCGATAGAAGACGGCGACGGCACGGCGGCTAGTAGACGTACCTGCGAGAGAAACGATTCCGCCTCGAATTTACACCGACTTGGTACGATGGCAATGGTGACTCGGTACGACGGCACCGGCGGAGACCTCGGCACGGAGTGAGTGGTACGGAGATTTGCGTTCTAGAAACACGGGGACGTCAGCGGCGCCGGACTCGTAGAAACGTGACCGTTTCCTGGTCTGGCGGTGCACGGCGGCTGAAGGGACAACAACAGGGCAAAAATTACCGAAAGCCAAGGACTTCACTGTGGTCCGCTGACTCTCTCCTATTCGCGCCGAGGTAATCCCACATCGGCGGCTTCACTCGTCCACACCGGTTCCGCAGCACTGCAGAATCTCACTTCGCTCGTTCCGCGTCTTGGTCTTCGCCGTCCGTTGGCTCGATCGTCACGCCGTCGATCGTCGATACGCTCACGACATCGTGCACTAGCCGACTGGGCAAGGTCGTCAAGCGTTCGAGCAAATACGCCAGCAACAATCGTCAACCCGCGGGACAGGTCGGAGAACGTGCAGAGGTGGACAGTGGCTAGCAAAACTGCATTTTCGCACCAATCGCCATCTCGCATCCTCACCCCTTGTTTATTGTGTCAATCCTGTCCGTAATATTTTTTTTTTAAATTTAAGTTATTTCAAATTCCAAATTGTTAAATTTCTTATAATAAACATATTTTGATGTGAACAAAAAATTTTTGTTTCATTTTAAGATAGCTGGCTAATTTAAAAAGGGTTAAATTTGTTTTCTTTAATTTATCAGATTTTAGTACAGTTGGGTTAGGATTTTGTATTAATTGATTATATTAATCCATCGTTGGTGGAATTAAGTAAAAACGATAAACTTAGTATAAACTTGGGCCTTTGATACTCTAGAGTCTAGAGTTAAATCATACACTTACTCACAAACAGCACAGGGTCCGTGATCTACCGCAGGTAGATTGCCTACCTGATAATATACTGCTGCGAACCAGAATTTTTATTCGGGGCAACGAAAAAGTTAAGAGAAGTTTTGAGCACCTTACACCCAATATTAAATAACGAATTGAACAAAGTTTGAGTCATAAAGAGTTGGTACATCTAACGGGCAACGGAGTGCACTGGATCAGCTAGTAAATTATAATTTACAAGCTTTTTTCCTCGCTAAATAATCATCGATTTTTTTAATGTGATTTATGTAGTGTTATAGTCTATAATTAAAAAGTAATGGACAAATCTGAGGCCCCTAAATAAATACTTGTAGTTACAAATTCTCGAAAGACTAACTATAAGAGACGATGTCAGCGCAATTTGTGTTTTCTCTCTCAGATGCACGCGCAATATAGATAAAACGCATACAACTCACAAAAAAAAAGGAATTTTGATTTGCCAAAACTTATTCGATAAATCGGTAACTCCTATTGAAGTACCTACTTAATTTTATAAAAAAAAGCAATTCAGCTTTTCCAAACTCAGCCGCGGCTCTTAGAATAAATATGTTAGCTATTCTAATAACTTCAGCTAGCGCAGAAGTTAGAACTTATAGAAACTTATTTGAGAAGTATCACGTCCCAAGAGTTTCTTCCTGGCTTGGCTTTATAAAAAGAGCCCGAGAACATTTAAATTATGAAAAAATCATTGAAGATTATACTTAAAATATATTATAAATATACACATAGTAAAATTATAATATTAAATGTATTAACTTTACAGATAAATTCGGAGCAGCACCTTAGAACAGCATATTATTATACCTACTGCGACGAGTTAGGAATATGGTTAAGACTATTTTTCGGGTTGCAATTCGTACCACCACATGACATCGAAAATGCATTCGTTAAACTTGTATCTATATATCCAAATATAGATTATAGGATGGTTATTTTCTTATTACCTATATATTGCATACCTACTTATACGTAGAAGATGATTGTTTATTTCCACCAAAAATGTTGGGCTCAAGAGCTCTGAAAATCCTCGGTAATACTATAACTAGGGTTTGGATTTATATGTAAATACATATATATTCTCTGCGACATGATAAACTAATTTCGGCAAGTGATAAATTCGTTTCACAAGATTTTGATAAAATTAGCTATATTTGATTTTACATATTTCGTCATAAATACATGTTTTTACATATATGTATTTACACAATTATTATTCTATTTATTCACATATTTATACAATTTTAATGTCTTTTCTTCAGAGTTCAGGTCCACTGGACGTATTTTTGACTTGGCTAAATAAGGGTTCCTCGGTGACAAACGACCGTCGAACTCAACCTGTTATATTTTCAATTATTTCTACATACGATTTTATTCATTGAAATATCAGATATATTATCGTAATATATTACGATTAACACATTTTTAAACACGTTGGACACGAACGAGCGATCACTGCGATGAGTGTGTAGTTTTTAATGTGACATCGTAGTGTGAGTTTCGTGGCCTCGTTTTTCGTTATATTTTACATGTTTATTACCAATAGGTTATGCCAAAAGTACGATCTTCTAAGACTTAAAATAAAATAAAAGCAATAAAATATGTTTCTGAATATCCAAATAAACATTTACAAAGT